CTAATAATTTAATTCTTTAGTAATTAAATATTTATTTAATAAAATATAAATTTAGTAATTAAATATTTATTAATATCGTAGCCAATGCATATTTATACGTTTTTACTAATTATAAGTCTTTTATGACGCACACAAAAAATATGATGAAACAACATATTATAGAATTGTCATTTATCAACAATTAGAAAAAGAACAGAAATAAAAAAGTTGTATTAATTAATGTGTATAATAAATGTATATAATAAATAGTTTAATAGAAAAATGTTATAATAAATAAAATGTTATAAAAGAGTTAAATGTACAAAATTTTTATTATTTTTATTAGTAAACAATACACGAGTACGAGCGTAGTATAGTAAGTAGCACACGAAACTACTATGGAAGTCCCGGGTTTGATCCTAGGCAAACTCAAGAATTTTCACGCGTTCGTAGCTCATCTTCAGTGGCCTGACCACCAAGAGTATCTATTGCCAAGAAAACTTCTCTCAAAACTGTCGGAACCAGCGTTAAATTGTAGATCCCGTATGTCTCTGCGCACAACCTGCGTGCGCACCATACGTAGTCCGCCTCAGACCAGCGATAGTGAAAGCTCTTTGCCTTGGATCGATACGAAGGATGTGAAATTGAACTCATACAAATGCTAGCGAAAGGTAGATAACTGGTATTTGTATGAGTTCAATTTCACATCCTTCGAGTCGATCCAAGGCAAAGAGTTTTCACTACCGCTGGTCTAAGGGGAGCTATCGTTTATACAAATTTCTAAAACCATTGAAGAACTTTGCGCAATGCTCGTTGAAGATATATTATTCATAAAATTATCTTCTTTTCCTTTAGCTCTTGTTCTTCCTTTCTCTGATAATTTTTCTTTTTGCTTCAACAATGATGTTTCTTCCTGTAATAACTGTCCCGATTTGGGATGTTGCACCATTGGATTGGATTGGATTGGATTGGATTGGATTGGATTGAATTGGATTGGATTGGATTAGATTGCATTGGAGCAAACAACACACAGAAACGGAATTTAAATCAAATTATAATTCTTTTCATTAGATACAGAACAAATTAACTTAACTGCAACTAACGCAATAATCGTATATAAACGCTTTAAGTAAACTTATTAATGTATTAAGTAAACTTATTATTAATTTATATAATTGTAGAAACATATACTCGTAGAAAAAAATTCTCTTTTATTAAAAAAAAGAAACAATAAAAATAATATTTCACATTTATGGCAGATAGAGAAATAAATATTGAATATTTGAAGAAGAAATACTAATTTCCCTCCAAATATTAAAAAATATAAACTTGATAATTAATAATTTATGAATTAAGACATTTTCTATGAATAATATGAGAAATTTCATGAAGATGAAACAAAACATAACTTTTTTCAATCGATTATTAAAGTTATCGCAAAATATTTTGATTGTAATTAAAAAAAACATTAAAATTAAAAATCATTTTGTTATTTTAACTTAATCTGAGTCAATGCTGAATTCATCATCTTCGAAGAGTTCACTCTGTGGCTCTTCTATCTTCAATCTGGATTGTTTCTTTATTTTGCAAAAATTCTTCTTATGACGTTCCGAAACAACTGACCCAATGAAAGTTACGCCACAATCTGGACACGTTACTTTTTTCTGGCACTCGTGTTTCTGATGAAATCTCAAAGATTTCAATTCCTTATAGTTACGGCCGCATTCTAGACATTTGAATAGTCCAGCTTCCTTCATGGTTCTAGAGTTCGGATTCAACAAACATGTCGTCATAATGTGATGTTTGAGAATGCTACATTTCTTGTAACTGATGCCACAATACTGGCATTTGTATAAGTTTAATTCCACATTCTTCGAGTCGGTCCAAGGCACAGAGTTTTCATTATCGCTACTCTGAGGCGAGCTATCGTTTATAACAATTTCTAAAACCCTTGAAGAACTTTGCGCAGTGCTCGTTGAAGGCATATCATTGATAAAATTATTTTTTCTTCCTTTAGCTCTTGTTCTTCTTTTCTTCGATAATTTTTCCTTTTGCTTCAATACCAATTGTTCTTCTTTCTGTGATTCTTTCTTTCTTGATATCTTCGCTCGCGTTCCGATTACCTGCGATGACTCTTTCTCTGTAACACGATGCGAACAAATGCTTTAAAAAAGAAATGATAATAAACGTAATGTGTCGCTAACGAGTTAAAAAATTTTCTTTGTTACAAATAACAGAAAATTGTTATAACTAATCGTCAATATAATAACTAATGAAGAAAAGAAAAGATAAATAAACATTAAAATTGCATGCAAGCCCATTGTAGCCACAAAAAATATACAAGGGAAAACATATCAATCAATATAAAGATAATTCTTTAAGCGCAAAGTCACTATGAGTATATTTTATCATTGTAAATTCTTGCATTTTAATCGTATGTACGTCATTTAAATACTTAGTGTTCGGTGTAAAACATCTGAACACAAAATACAAAAAGATCAAAATATCAATTTAGAAAATGTTTCATGATTATTGAGAAAAATTGACTCTTTAGCTTGCCATTTCTCTAATCTTCGATGTCGCTGGTTGGTTTCGAACAAATAATCTGAAAACAAAGAGACACGGATCAGTAAAAGTGCCATTGAATGCCAGAGTAGGCAAAATCTAAAGATAGAGCGAATCTGTAAGCAAGGAATTGTGCTTGAACGGCAAAATGTCAACAATAAGGCCTTTTCTTTCTGAACAAAAATGCGATATTATTGAGATGAATTGGATGTTTCTGCGGAAATTTAAGCGTCTGTATTTAAATGGAATCGAAAAATAATAACAATCTTTTCATTTTAGAAATATTCGATATTATAATTTATATACATTTTTATTATAACATATCACAATCATTCTTTGACTTAGTGCTCAGTTGCACTGTAAACGATGTGCGCCGTATGACAACGCATACTGTATTTCGGCCTATCGATAAAAATATCTCAACGAAAATCTATTCCGAGAAACGTTAAAATCTTGTAATAGAGATATCAATACAAGATTTTAAAAGTTTTTTTTTTATAGATAGAGCGTTCCAGAATTCTCCATATTATTGCCACTCATTATCAAAGTTCTTTTATATAATAATTGATATCCAAAAAACATTAAATCTGAGTCACTATGTGTCCTTCTAGATAACAAAGATGAAGAAAAAAATCGTTCGGAAATATCTTCCGACCAAAATCGTATTCAGTTCAAAGCACGTGTCACGCGCATTAGCAAAGCTGGAAGTTGCACGGGGCTCTCTGGCGATGTCTTCGCAGGCTGCTACTGTGCAGAAATGTTTTGCCGCAGACATTACACTTCTGCGTACGACCACACTCATGTCTCACATGGAAGATGAGATGCGATTGCTTGGAGTAGCAAGCGCCGCACTGTGTGCAGGAGAACGGCCTAATCTTCTGTGACTGATGGCAGGTAGACCTGGGGTTCCAGTAACAGGAGCTCTTCTGATGACTCCTCAGATGACCAGACTGCGTAAAGCCCTTGCCGCAATACTTGCAACTATACTTTCTCTTGGTGCCTTCGCCGCGCGTCGAATTATTCGCGCTTAGCTCCAATTCTGCAACACGATTACCGTTCCGTCAGTCGATTGCGTTCGTATCTTTAAGCGAGCATACACAAAATTAATAAAGCGAGATTTCTCTCTAAGAAAGTGTTTATTTGCGGGTTTATTCGTGGGTTACAAAAATAAATGTTCAATTTAGTTCAATCATTTGCGGTCAGAAATCTCAAACAACGAATCACTATTCACATTTGTTCCATCGACATTTCTCTAATAATAAACAATATTAATACATTATTAAAATTTAAGAAATTTATTAAAAATTCACAAAATAAGAAATATTTAAATACAATCATTTTAGCGTTTAAAAATTTATATATCGACCGCAAAAGATCAAGAGTTTTTTTTAACAAAAAGCTGTAAAATGTATCTCATGCGTACATATAAACTAGTCTGTCACATTAAAATGAATTGGAAAAATATGCTGTATGTTGACACATTTCCCTACAATATCTTTGTAGCGAGAAGAGAAACACAGTGCCATTTACTCCCATATTGGCTGTTAAAATATCTTAGTTTAATATACACAGAACATTAATGGAATCATTGTTGCGTTGAGAATGTGAGAATTTAGTGACATTATTTTAATTTATTTGCACGTTATGTACATGTAAAGGATGGTAACTCAGTTTTGAAAAATAAAATAAATATGTAATTATTAAAATTAATATTATTATAAAGAATATAGTGTTTAGGTGAATTAATAAACAATATGATATTACACTAATTTATTTTGTATAATAATAACAAAGAAGAATCTTGATAAATTATAAAAATAAGTGTAATAATAAAAATTATGGCACACCTATCAAACGTCCAATAACATTTAATCCTAAACTAAAGATTAGACTAAAGAAAAGACTAGACTAAAGAAACCAGTAAACTCAGAGAAAGTTTAATCATTCACAGTTACGTCTAACGCAATCAATCGACATTCACAATGATCCCAGTAGCTTCATATGGATTTTATAGTCAACGCTTTGAGTCGCAAAGATTGCTATTTCGGTGTAACGGATAGCAACTTCTTGTGTCTATACAAGTTGTTCGATTGCAGAAAAGTTTTGTCATAATTATCACACTTTAAAGTTCTACCGCACATGCCATTTCAGGAAACTCTGCTTCCCTGAATACTCTGAGGCATTCAAAACAAGAAGAGTTTTAATATTTGCGTATAGTAATATACTCGGAACTCGGATAGCAGCAACTTCCAGTAATCAGCTCTTCTTCAGAAGGCTGTAAAGAAAGCGCTTAAAGGCGAAGTCTTGAATGTATAAGTTCGAACAACGGACATGCAAAATTCTGTAATACAAGAATCAACAACGATTTATCCTTAATGCTATTCAAATTAGACTCGTTTACGCATCAAAATATCAAAAAACCGAAAATTCGTGCTTAAGTTCGATACCGTATTCGAAGTGATAAAAAACGAAATAATCTCGCAAATCTGAACAAATTTTTGATAATATGATCCAGATTTAGCAATTTAACGAATTACAAAAGTTTTGTACTGTAACGAATAATAAACTTTTACATCCTATTGAAACTAGTAACTTATAGAGAAAACTTAAGCATTCGCAGTTATATTCAAAAGATCAGTCGAGTATTCATACATATATGTATACATGTATATGCGTACGCAGAGTCAATAATCTGAATAGTTTCATACAAATTTTACAGACAACGTCTTAAGTTGCAAAGATTGCATCTTCCGTGCAGTTAGTACATGCACGACCGTTTTTTATGCCTGTACAAACTGCATGACTATAGACAAGTTTTCCCGCAATTATCGCACTCTAAAATTCTACCACAATCTTTATGCATATGTTGTGTCAGGAAATACTGCTTCGAATACGAAGCACCGCATTTGGAACACAAGAAGGGTTTTGAGCTCTGCGCGTGATAACACTCGGAATTCGGATTCCAATAGCAGATCTTCTTCAGATGGGCATAAAGAAAGCGTTTAAGGACAAAGCTCTTGTTGCAGTACATACAGGCGTAAGTTCGGACGATGGACGTTGCGGTTCTGCAACACAAGAATCACCAACAGTTCGCCCTTAGTAATGATTCGCTCACACGACATTTGCCAAAATCTCAAAAATCAGCTTAAATTCAGCCCTGTATTCAGAGTGATAAACAATGAATTAATGAAATAGTCTCATAAGTCTGAATTTTAGTACGGTATAAATTGATTGAGCAATTGCTTTTATTTATTTTTGTGAATCTTTTTAAGTAGTAAATTAGGTAATAAATAAGATAATAGATAAGATAATAAAAAAAAGATGTTGAGTGTACAAGTCACATTTAGCAAAAATACAAAAATTACATAAATTACAAAATGTTTTGTACTGTGACAAATACTTTTAAAACCTATTTAACCATATTATACGTCATTATATGTATAGTACATATATAAAATATAACATACTATATTAAAATAATATTTAAACTAAAAATCTCACGTTTTCTCAATTAACGATAAATTTAAAAATAAATTTTGTTAAACGCAGAAAATATTGTTAAAGAATTTAGGAGATCTATTGAAATTATAAAATATTATAAAGATCTAAATTAAAAGTTTAAATTGAAAATAAAAAACACATGACATTTAAAATAAAAATATTATTTTTGAAATTATTTTATTAAAAAGAATTAAGAAAATTTATATATTTCTCTAAAATTAAATAAAACATACTTCTTGAAAATTTTCAAAAATGAACTATATTAACAAACATTAGCTTCGAAATTTCTATTACAGTTCTGTAAAAAAAAATATTATATTCATATATTTTTTTTAATCTTTAAATACTACATAAATATTGTATATAATTCTTCTTGATAATTCTTCTTAACAAAACAATTTTTTAACTCTCTTAAATCATTATATATGTATTTAAATCGTGTTATAAATGATACTTACTGTTTAATGTTTTCGATTAATACTATTTCATATATCGAATTAAAAAATAATATCTATAACTAATACATAGTACAATATATTAGATATATTTACATGTTACACGCTTATCCTCGACAATGTTTCCTATGCCTACAAAAACTTGCTCGATAATTGAACTGATTTTACTTTACATTTTGGACAAATGTAGACTTTTCCACAATCGTTTGATTTGTATGATTTGAGAGTGCGTGGATTTTTAAATAATTTTCCACACTCAGAACAAACATGTATATACTCTTCTTTCAATTCTTCCTCTATTTTCACCAATTTCAAATTGTAAGCATTTTCAATTTTAATTGTTGTGCCATTACCTATTGTTTACATATTATCTGAAATCAAAATACGTTGAAATGTCATTATAATTTCATTTTACAATAATTAACATTTTAACTACAATCACATATATTCTCATTGTACATTCGATCGTGTTAAAGAAAAAAAATTCATTTACAGTTGAATAAATATTACAGGACATAATATTATGTAAAAGTAATATTTTCTTAAATTCTACGTTTTTTTCTACTTAGTTTTCTAATCCACATTTAAAAATAAAATTAGAAAAAAATAAAAATTATCC